TCAATACAATAATTGCAGAGAAGCTCCTGACTGTGTACGCCATAGAAAGGAGCTTTCCAAAATCACATTTTTATGAACTCGTTGGCTACAAAATAAGACCTAGTAATTATTAGGGCTATTCCGGTTCAGGTTTATATATATCACTGACGCTCCGGTAGTCGGATTGGTCTGAGTATGAAAAGACGGAAATGTACTCTTACACTCTTTTACTTGCTTATGCCATTCCAATAATTACTATTCTATCTGTCCTACCGCTACCTTCTTTAATTTATTCTTCACCACCAGTTGCTTAATAGTCAAGAGTGACTGTGTCAACGTTTTTATGGAGACATATTTAGTAATAAACTGTAAGAGTGGCAAAAGCATCTGATTTACGAATTACCTTGAATTTATTGTGACTATTTTTCCATGGAGGACTTAAGGTTTTTATATATACTATTTTTGACCAAATGAAATCATGTGATCAATGAACTACCGCATGAAAACAAATAAATCATACTTTTCCAGAGCAAAAATTATAATCATCCAATTCTATTTTTAGCTTAAGTATCAGAGTAGTAAGTAATCAGTTTATGTTTTGGCAGGCAAGGAATTTAATTACGACCTTCAACTGTTAAGTATGAATAGCCACGGTATTTTACAAATTGACTTCGCAATGTCAAGGTCAATCTCTAATGCCGGTTGATAATGCCAGTGATACATATCGCTTTCGAACAATTTATAAACAAATTACAGAACAATTTCGGATCTGTTGTGGAGACAATAAAAAATCATGTTTTCTTCATACTAAAATACCTGTAATAAATAAATTAAATTCAACATAGATTTTCATTTAATAATCATGTTTTCTTCATACTAAAATACCTGTAATAAATAAATTAAATTCAACATAGATTTTCATTTAATAATTCCTGCGATTATTGTATGAGTCATGTTTGACGATGAAAAACTAACAATAAATTTGTCCCATACGAAAATGACAGCATGACTGATGGAGGCAACAAGAGAATATGGGGCAGACTGGCACAGCGACAATTAGATGGGCAGCAGTTTGACAGACATGTTGTTATTGTGGAAAACCGTTAGAAAAACCGACATCAATACACGAGAGAGAGAGAGAGAGAGAGAGAGAGAGAGAGAGAGAGAGAGAGAGAGAGAGAGAGAGAGAGAGAGAGAGAGAGAGAGAGAGAGAGAGAGAGAGAGAGTTAGTTACCCAGATCCTACTGTCTGCATCGGATTGGTGTGTTTCTCTTGTCAAGCTGAACACAAATTTGCTACATTAAAGATTTTGATCAAAGGAAGAGCCAAGTCTCTCCGTTCAGTGCTCTTGCACTATTATTGTACATGCCACTATTTTAACGTCACGTGTAAAATTCGAACAAAGGTTATATTCCAATCTGATAATAGTGATATGATCACTAACAGTTTTATCCGATATTACCAACGACAATGTATATAAATTATGTATATATGTATATGTGAACACATTTATGTGTAATCTATGTCTAACTTTTGAGGTTATATCGAGTCTCTCTCTCTCTCTCTCTCTCATATATATATATATATATATATATATATATATATATATATATATATATATATATATATATATATATATATATATATATATATATATATGCTGGACCTTTTTGCCTGTTTAGAATATGCACCTGACTGTACAGTATACGTGCCTGTCTCAATCATCGACGGGGTCTATATTAAGGTGCTTAATGTCTTTCTGCATGTGTATATATTTTACCCCCCCTCCTGGTCGCTTTTCAGATTTTGGCTTAATAGGTATGTGATCAATGCAAAGAACAGTTAGACACTTGTTTCGCTCAGTGTCAAGGAAAAATTAAAATATTATGAATCTCGTGCAGGGAACTAAACTAAAACTTACATCCTATTTGTGTTTAATGTATATATAATACCTAATGATTTATAAGCTCCTGTGCAAGGATCAGCTGACGTTGAGAACATTCTAAATCATTTTTATCAAATATCACACACCAGCCCATATTCCATTACGACTTAGCACACATCACCAAAAAATGATGCTACTTAATCGGTGTTATTTGCACTCGTGTGTAGCAGACACTCGCATGACGACCAAGTAATTAATTCTCATCTATATACAGTCATTCTGGAATCCTATGAAAGAAATCATTATATAAGATTAATTATAGAGAATTATAAATATACACCAAACAGAACGGAAAGTATTATCCCTGGATTCTGTAGGAGAATGCTTGAAATGGCAGGCAGAATTATCATTTAATACAAATATTATCATTCAAGTTTGAGAAATTTCAATTCATACTCAAGAGATTCGAAACCAGGTCCGCGAATAAACGGCGCCCATCTCATTGCCTGTACACACCAGCCCATATTCCATTACAACTAAGCACACATTATTTTATGCTATTTAATACGTTTTATATGCAATTGTGTGTAGCAGACACACTCTCATGTCTACTACTATGAAGCATTCCCCGTATAGAATTCAGGGTTAGTACTTTCCGTTGTTTTGTGCATATTTATATTTCTTCAGAATTAATTCTATATACCTTGATTTCTTTCATAGGAATCTAAAATGCGTTTGTAAATTTCGAAACTCGTCTTTTACACATGTACAAGGTGAACAAGAGGGGCTCCAGGAGTCCGAGTGGTCTAAAGTGGTCACCGTTGTGGATCACTGCCGTCTCACCCGTCTGCATCGGTCTGTCTCACGTACGCGGGAAAGCTTCTGAATAGCTTCCCGTGGGTCGGTGATACTTCCCAGGGTTTTCCCGGCTTCTTAGTCTACCAGTTAAAGCGGCCGCCATGTATAGCATCTCGTTCGCTAAAAACTTGCGTTAAACCCCACAACAATGTAGACTGAATAAGAACTTAGACACATTGACAAATCTTGAGCCACAATTTTACAACACAGCATTCACCTTATAGAGATTAAAATACAAAGACGGAGAAAAGACCAATACTGAAGTCCCCACTACAGATTAGAAAATTCATTAAATACACTTTAAGACCTGTACATGCATCACGAGATCAAAACATCAAAGTTTTTGAGCTTCGTCGGCTATCTGTATGGTCTCAGAGTTTAAATATTAACACTGTAGCAACATCCTATATCGTAATATTAACGTTGAGTTGTAAGTTGTTGTTTTTTGTTGTTTTCTGTTGAAAAGAAATTTGATGATTTTTTTGTTGCTGTTATTGTATTATTGTTTACCATATTTTGCTGTTAAATTTATCTGACCTCCATTATGTTCAATATTGTTTTAGTATTTTATGTTAAATGTTAATATTCATGTATTATCAATAATACGTTTTTATTAACAAATTTATCAATCTGATATGGTATTATCGTTTATTTTTATTTGCTGCTTATACTTGATATCTTTTCTTTTTGTCTTTCTATCCAACCTTAAAAATGTTTTGTTAATTTTTTTAAATATAAATAACCTTTTAATTATTTTCCAATTTTGTCTTGACTTTCATTGCAACCACAACATAAAGCACAGAATTTAGCAAAGTCTATTTAAACAAATTATAAAATCAACACAAATTAACCACGCGTACATACGTATTATAGATGTTGAATGTATATCAAACAGGAAGAGTCAATGGTCTTCGCTATGAAAATTATTCATCATTAATGAAATCGTCATTACATAACTAAGGTAAAATTATTACGAAGTTGACATGCACAAACCACACGTGTGTGACCATAACTCGTATTTATTGATATGTTACAACAAAGATGTTATTGATTCGCTTTACTTCCAATGATTTCTTTACACAATTATTATTTTCATTCTTTGTTCATTTTACGCAGAACATGTAGTAGCGTGTAGCAATTATTTTTACTGACGTACGACTGTGACATACTGCAGAACGATTTAATACTTCACATTATTTATAAACATTTCACAGTAAAACAAGGATTTAATATTTACGTAATAGTTACTTTTATTAGACATGCTTTTAGTAATTGGTATTTGATACGTAAATGGGCCTTTTTGATTTGGGCCGTTTTGGACCGGGCCTTTTTAAGCACTGGTCCGTTTTGGTCGTGGGCCTTTTTGGTACCGGTCCGTTTTGACCCGTAACCACACAGCATCGTCATATTTGCTACTTGCATTGCACACAAAGCATAGTGTATATGCAACGTGTAACGCTCGTTGCATCTAAATCTATCACGATAATTACAATGCAATAACTCAGTTTTATCACAGGAGTCTGCAGTTTTATCAAGAAAGTACGACGAAATTTCCAACATGAAATCACCTTAACGGTATTATTAAAAAAAAAAAAACAAGGAATGCAAAGCGTGACCACAACCCTCCACTCGATTTGACTATTCTCATGCGTCTTTTATCGCTTCATAATCTCAAGAAGTCTGAAAAACTACACATATCCATTCAAAAAACAGTAACCTACCAACGCATCACACGACCATCGCATAAATCGAATCCGGCGAATTAACCTTTATTTTCACCATTAAGGTCACAAACCCTGAAAAGCACGATCATTACAGGAAGAAGCCCATTTCTACCACTGGCTAAATAACGTCATGTCGAGCTAAAATGTTTAACTTGTTGTTTTTTTTATTTTAGATTGCATCATATAATAATTTTTTGTATAAATTTCCAGAACAGAAATATGTAAAGTTCTGATAGTACAATTAACGGTTGATGACGTCATCACATTCGAATATTAGAGCCTAGTATTAAAAGAGAACGGATTCTGTGCCGTGTTTGGAACGACTATTAACGCATATTTACTGCAGGGTAGAAACTAGTAGAAATTGGCCACTCCTTCTCTAGTTATACTGGCCGCCATGTATAGCCTATCTTGTGCTGAAAAATGGTGTTAAACCCTACAACAACAATAAATTTGCTTGAGTTCTGCGACATGAAGCACAAACACATAAAACGACAGATAAGTATTGTAACGAGGAAACCACATGGACATCAATATTTCGTTTCTTTAAAACCTCTCCGGTGACCTAGTGGTTAGAGCGTCCGCCTCGGATGCGGGAGGTCGTGGGTTCGATCCCCGGTCTAGTCATACCGAAGACTTACAAAAATGGTACTAACAGCTGCCTCTCTTGACACTCAGCATTAAGAGGTTAGTGTTAGGACTGGTCGGCCTGGTGTCAGGATAATGTGATTGGGTGGGACATCATGCTACATGTCTGCGGCATGATGCCCTAGTGCTAGACATCACTATAAACTGCCACATTGCAGACATCGTAGCGATATGGCTTAAAAATTGTTAAAGCTACGTTAAAAATTATAAATACCACCACACACCTAGTTTCGTTAAAGGTTATGTTTGTGATTTCAAATGTTTGGAGGGCTTTGTAGTGCCATTTAACGTCTTAGTTTTAGGTCTCGTGATACGTATATATATATATATATATATATATATATATATATATATATATATATATATATATATATATATATATATATATATATATATATACACAATAAACTGACGACGAACAGTGCGAAATTAGTAACTAACTAGCCTGAGCGCTTTCGGCTCTTAATGAGTCTTTTTCAAAGGCAAATACAAAACATATACAAGACAAACAAATAAACACAAAAACGTTGTTTGTAAACCTCTACATGGCTGTTTCCTCATGAGGTAAAACTATAAATACAACCAGCTTGTATAGACTTGTTGCGGATACTGAAAACTGTATAATTCCCTAAAAGTCTACAAGCCAAAGTGACATCTATTTTTACTTTTTTGTACATTTATGTAACACAGATTATATCCCGGATATTTGATTCTATACCGGTTATTCTTATAGTAAAAATTGAAGGATACTAAGAAGATTTAGAAAAAGTTAAATTCTACTAGCGCATAGTTTTCTTTTTCTAGTCTTCTTGGTTTAGACCACTTGGTTTCAATGTTCTAAGGTGGCGTATCCAGTATGATTCCTTTTCCTTCCTGGTTTCGGAACTCTAGTTTTGGTTGTTAGCAATAGCGATAAGTGTTATATCAACATACATAAAGTCAAACAGAATGAAGAAAAAAGAAAACAAATTGCGAATAAAATTTTATAAATTAACTATAGTATATATTATTGATTGTCTTTCCATGACAATATTTCTAACAATAACCTCCAGGGAGGTAAACATACGCATTCAAAAAATATACTATTAGACAAAATATAATAATTTAAGCAACAAATTAAATTAAACCAACACAACAAAAACCATTTAAGTAAACATATGAAAAGCAATGTCAAATTAAATAAAAGATTGTGTTTATTTCTGTCATGTAAGCGAAATTGTTGAAAAATTCTTGACTTATTTTACAACTAACCTCTTGATAACCTCAAAATTAAGGGTTTTTTAAAATAATTTTATATATAATTTTACACCTACAAAGGATCGAAAAAGAAATTCAGTCAGAAAATGCATCTAATACATTTACTGTGACCACCCTGATCAAATTTTTCCCACCCACTTGTCCTGGACAGCAGTTTTAGAAAATTCATTTGTCCCATTTTAAATTGTCAAACAATTTCACTCCCCTTCTTAGATTTGATGATGAGATGTATCCATTTTAATTCATAGAGAAACAATGAAACAGTGTGCAACCATTTCCTTAAAGGGCTTAACTTCTTGTTGTGAGGATATCTTATCTACATCTTCTAGTGCTCATATACAATATCATCCATACTTCCATCAACAAGAATGGAAATGAATTTATCTGTATTCATATGTTCCCTAATTTTCTTCTGTAAATACTTTATGAAACTGCTGTATCTTTTGCACTGAGTTTACTAACAATTATTACTAAATTCTACTCTTGGAATGCACATGGCATTTTTGTATCTGAGAAAGGTTTTCCATACTGAACTAGTGTGTAGGCTCTTAATGTTATTTTTAATTTTATTCTAATTCAATTTTAAAATGGCTTTTCCTAGTGGAGTGTTTTGCAACTTGAACTTTGGGATTTTCTGCACCTGCAGGCTAGTGTCTTGTTGATACTGTATTTCACTGACTTTACAAGTCAAAAACTGTCTGGAGTCTTGCTCAATTAAATCCTTAATTTATAAGTTCCATTGTGATTCTGTCTGCAATAGCTGCAAGACATTCTTCCTTCAGTGTCAAAAAATTCAAGTCATGTAAAATTATCAATCTAATGTGGCCAAAGTTCTTTGTCTCTATGTTGTGTCATATTTGATATTTTTTGCTGCCACAGAGTCTGGTTGATGTGTCTTTGGAGAAAGAGTTTATCCTCTACTTCCTGATTAATTCACCATAGGTACAGCATTTATCAGATAAATTAAGCCAATTTAAACAAAATGAAATACAACTTATTCAATTTAAACAAAATGAAGTCCAATTAAGTCAATTTAAACACAATAAAGTCCAAAGTCAATTTAAACAAATGAAGTCCAATGGTGGCTAAATACATGAGACCAAAGCAAAAAATACACTGGTGTGAACCAATGAAATTCAAACTTGTTTTGCCAACCAGACTGCTGCCAATCATTATCAAAATAATAACTCAATTATTCTTTTGCTGCATCCATCATTTTTTAAAATATTTGTTATAATGTATATATTTAACTTGATCAGGTATGGGAATTCACTTTAATGCTAATTCTACATTCACTATATGCAGACTCATTCTTGCTTTTGTTCTACTATAGACAAGATTAAGGAAAGTAACTGTTACCTCCCACCTGCCACAACTGACAGAATATTCCTTGACAAACTACAACAGTAATTGTTTGCACAAAGCATTAAGCAAGTACATGTTTAATTGTTGCTCCATGGATAAAACTTCAGCTATATTAATATCATAATTTCCCTTCACATGGCTGTGCTCTAAAAATGAACAGAGTCAAGAAGCAAATGTGTCAACCTTAGTATATTTAATTTTGTGTACAGCTGTGGTCTCCTGATGAACTAAAATTGAAGAATTACTGAAACTCTAGATAGCAAAACAGAATGACATAGTTTTGAGTCAAAGTTGTTGTCTGAGTAACAGAACCTTCATATTCATGATACATTTACAGAGGAAATCTGTCACTTGAAAATGTCTTTATAAATTACTTCCTCATTATAATGCAGTCCATGTGAGACAGAATACACTGCCTTACAGTGTGACTGCCTTATTAAGTACATGATAAAGTACTTCCTTATTATAACACCTTCAATGGGAGCCACTGATTACACTGCCTTATAGTGAAATTGACTTATACTTACATGATAAATATTCCCTCATTATAATATCATCCATGGGAGCCATTTATTACACTGTATTATAGTGAGGTAGCCTTATACTTAGCTACACAATCACTCCCTCATTATAATGCCATCAATGAGAACTACAGACTACATTGTCTTACAGTGAAACTTTATAATGAAGTGCATGATACAGTGCTCCCTCATTAGAATGCTATCAATGGAAGTCATAGAATATACTGCCTTACAGTGAGACTGTCTTATAATAAAGTACTCATTATAATGTCATCCATGGGTGCCATATAATAGTCTTACAATGAGATAGCTTTATACTGAAATATAGTATGAACATGATTTTTTAGAGTCTGCTTAATATAATGCGATCTATTACCAGACTTACCTCATAAGAGGATTGTGTAATGATGAGCCTTATACTGAAACAGTGGTGGATTCAAAATATAATTGTATAAAAATATTTCTATTTTTTAAAATTAAATTATTGTATTGCATTTGCATAAATGAAGGGAAACATGCCATGATTTACTGTATTTAAATAATAATAATTATTTTAATAATAATACAATAATTCAAACTGTTCCCCTGATCTAATTTCATTCTCTCTTAATTTTAGTTCTCACTTCCTTGGTGAGCTTGGTGAGATCAGACATCATGTTGCGGTGAAGAACTGTTTCGGCTGTAAAAACTCCGGCAAAAAGAGCCCCACTAAATCCGCATGTCACCACATCTTGACCTGTAATGGTGGTATAGAAAAATAAAATTTAAGTATTTAAAAAAAAAAACAAAAGTCTTTTGTGAATTTAAATATATAAAGACCACAAATAGGACTGAAGAAAGGTGACCCTGACAGACAATTGAAAATGAAGAATTGTATACCATACCATTTTTCCTCCAACTGAGAATAGACCCAAAAAATAAAAAGAAAATAATGTAATCACCAGTATGCTGACTTGTCATTAATGCCCAAGAATACAGAGAATCAACGGGATTAATTCTAACTTAAGATTTGAATTCTTAGCGTTAAATTTCATATTTGTCATCAGGGCAGGCTTTGCATGTATCTTTATCGACATTGTTATATGAACAGCTCTCTCTCACACACACATACACACACACACACACACACACACACACAATCAAATCATGAACAGAGCTGGTTCAAATACTTCACATTTTAAAAATAAAAAACTGCTTAATTTATTCCAAAAAGGTGTCTACTATGAAATATACACTATGTAATTTCAGAGTGAAATAAAAACAAGGCTTTAGACAGAATTTTGCATGTGCCACTGTATTAACTTAATACAATGTGACCTTGCGATAGGATGCTCTATTATAACACAAATTCAGATATAACACAATCGTGGTAGGACTCCTAAAATTTCATACACTGAATTTATTTTTTATGTTGGGGCACTATAAATTAATTTTAAAAGTAATTTTTTGTGCACTGTATGTTCTGGGTTTTCTTTCGAGTCATAAGTTGTGGGTTACCTTTTAAATCATTCGAAAATTACATGTTAGAAAATGCACTCCAACTAAAATTTTTTTAAAAAAAAATATAAAACTGTACTTGAGACAAAACTCTTTATTCTACAGCAGCAGCATCTCATAAACACAACCCTTTTCCTGCACACATATGATCAATTCTTTCAGTGCAGGAATATTTTTAAAGCTTTCTTATACTGTGAAAAATTGTTAGCAACAACAAATCACCTGAAGCGGAAACTGCAAGGACTAAAGTCAAATTTTTAAAAAAAATCTTGACCAGTCTAATTCTCACATTTTTGACCCCCTTCTTATCATCAGTTCTGTTCAGGAATGCGATCCAAGTAGACTAGAT